CACAACCAGTAAAAGTTAACTAAAGAAAATGATGAATCCTATGATAACATGTAAACTTGATGTAAAAAGTCTGTTTTTAACCTGAATGCATGTTAAAAAACAAACCAATTCTGATGGAAAAAAAAAACAACAACCCCAACATAATTTCCCCCATTCATCACACATCAAGGGACACCTCCACCTCGCAGTCTTTCATCTTTTCTCCCCTGCTCTGGTACCTTCCCTCTGAATCTTCTGCATAAATCTTTTTAATTAAAGCCACAGAGGTTTTTTCTCAGAGGCCTCCGCATAAACAACGACTGAGTTTGTCGCTGGTGAGTGAAAAGCTCTGAGGGGAAAACTGGATGCAAGGAGGCAAAAAAAAAAAAAGTCTAATCACTTGTGCTCCATAAATATCCTGTTGTTTCATTAATGAGGGCAACTGTTTTATTTACTTAATGCAGACTTTGACAGAATATGAAAATATTCTGCAGGATTTTGTTGTACATTTCAATGTAAAGTCAAAAATTTCTCATATGCAGGAGCTGAATAGACTTTGTCACGGAAAAAACTACAAAGATAAAGCACAAAGCTTTTATAAATTAAACGCTGTTCTTGTCTGCAGGGAGAATCTTTAACAACATTATTATAGTGCCGTCAGTCAAAGCCTAACTGCTTCGGTGGAAAACACATAGTCACAAATACGTTCATAATTAGATTTCATTGTCATTGTGTTGAGCTTGAAATGTGTTTTTTTTTTTTTTTTTTTTTTTCAGCCTGATGCCTTTCACAGCGTCCTCCATGTGCCGGCAGCACAGAGAGGCATGTGGACAAACTCTCACATTAAAGACACATTAGTGGATAGATTAAATTAAAAGCTGCTCAAACAGGGAACACTTTAACAGGCAGAGGCAAAATGTCAACGTAGCAGAGCTTCTCACATTTTGCCATCTTTATGAAGGAACTTCAGCGTAAATGGGACTTTTCTCAAATATTCTGCTTTCAAGCTGTGCTCACAAATGAAGAGGCATACATTTTTCAAGAAATCCTTATCTTCTTTATCTTCTTAATTCCCTACGCATGTCACAGTGTTCTGTGTTGAAGCTCTGAATGTGAGGAACCAAGGCTGAGTGCAAACGATGAAGAGGATGACAGAAAGAGTCTTGTGAAAATCAGTATTTATGCGGAATATGTTTAGCAACTCTTTCATCTGATGTCACGTGAAGCAACTGCAGATGGTTCAGTGCGGGAAATTAAACCTAAACAGTAAGAAATAAGTGAGAAAACGATTCTCGTCATCATTTCGATACAAAATTTTCTTCATTTTGGTATTATACAAGGATTTTATGGCTTTGTTTTCAGCTATGAACTGTCATCATTTTGTCTTTAAGGTAGCTGGTTTGTAAATGTCATTATTCAGTTGACAACATTTTGTAGTGTTAGTGTGTGAAGTGTGGGGTGTAGAGAAATCTAAAGCAAGGAGGAAAAAGCCAGAAATGTGTTGCTTCATGGGAAATTTTTGAGGAAAATTAACAAATCAAAAACATTTAAATACAATTTGTTGGCTTTTCTGATATCCTGTAAATGTAAGATTTTGCATTTGAGATTATATTTTCTAGTAAATCACTAACTGATCTTTTCTCATATTTAACAGCCTCTTCCAAACTTAGTGTTAGAAAGTCAAAAAGGCAAAGAGCTGCAGCATTTTGCTCAAATCAATCAGCTCTGCATTTAAAGACTTTCTATTTTGCATAATTATGTGTGATTATAAGTCCTTTAGAAGGATGTTATGCTTGGCTGACAATAACAGTATAGCAGAAAGGCTAACACTTTTCATCACTTTTCATCTATTCATGATCTTTTAAATCATATTTGATTTCCATCACCCTGTGCAGAGACCGGGCAGAATTTTTTTTTTTTTTTTTTCTAGTTTCTTCATGTATCTCTCTTTTACTAGGTTAATAAAAGTTGTCTCTGTGTAAAATAAATAAAAAGTCAGTCAAATACAAATGAAGACAGAGCACAGAGCTCAGATATGTCACATATTCCACATGTGTTTAATTTGTGAAACCTTCCAGTGCATCTGATATCAAATAATGCCAATGACACGAATAGTTTATTGGAAAACTATAATTTTTTCGAGTGGACTGCTGGGAAGAGTTACACTCTGGGCAGTTCATCACAGTGTGATTGATGTCATACTTCCTGGAAATATTATTATTTTTTTGAGTCAGCAAATTGTATTTGTCATCGATCCGGTGCATCGTAGAATTACATTTATGAGCGATAGCAGATACAAAATACAACTCAGATGAGGGATTATGTTGAGTCATGGTTGGACTGAAGCCTGTGTGCTCTCCTTTAGTCTGAACTTTGTCTTTTCCCTCTGTTCTTGAAAAGACATTTTTGAAGCATTCATGCATAAGTAATGCATTTAGTGAATGTAAATAGATTTTCTAAACTGGTATTTGCATTGTTCAATGTGATATATTCACTCAAATGCACCACTCTGTATTTAGACATTTTAATGATTTACTTTTATCCACTTTCTTGCATTGTTTCATTTGCTCCAGGATTTGTAATTTGTATGCTTGAAAACATTTTCCATAATTTGCTTCTGGAAGATTGTTATGTTGCTTGATGATCAGAAACATTTCCGTGTGACAGTAAACTAAAAACATAGAAAATTATTAAAAGGGATACATGTTTTTTTTACAGCACTGTTCATGAAGTTATCTTTGTTTTTTAGTAAATGTTTATTCTAGCCTGTTTTTTTTTTCTTCCGTTCATTTCTCTGCAGCACTTTAGACGATGAAGGGACAAACCTCCGACAGCAGAAACTGGACAGACAGGTGAGCCTCTGATGTTCTCACAGCTATGATAAAAATGGAAAAACAAATCAATCACAGCAGGACAGCTTTATCATCAAAAGCTGCTACTGCTCCATCAGTCAACTTCGAGTCAAAACCCCACGGTGGATTCTGTTATCTTCCTAAAGGGCTTTCTGATGAGACGGTTTGTGCTTCTTCAGCACAGAAAGAAAACAACACACTAGGTGGTCTTGAGCCACTGCCCACATTATTTCATTCTCATTAAATGTTTTCTCAACAGGCTTTCTTTTTCTTCTCTAACACAACAGATTATAACAGGACCATGAGTCAGAATTGGAGAGTCCAGGAATCCTCAGTCAAACTGATGTTTGGCAGTCAGAAAACTGACACTGATGTTGTTGTTTCCTGTGAGCAACACTGTAACCTAACACGCTCCCAGGCAGCCTGTCTCAGCTCCATGATAAACACAGTAAAAATACTTAGCAAGGAAGAGAAAATCACTGAATAAATACATTTTGAGCTCTTTGAATTTTCTTTCGGTTTTGTCGTATTTAATTGGATGGGTTTGCGTGCGGCTGCTTCACTCGGCATCTATGCAAGCTGACTTTGTTGTTTGAATAACAGAGATGAAGTTGTATCATTTCATCATTCCTTTGCATTCTGACATGGTTCCATCTCTTAACGTTCTAACTGAGCCATAGAAAGCTTGCCGCCTATTGCGTCTTTTGCTTGTTGCATGCTAACGTTCTTTAGATCGTACCAATGCAAATTTAATTGTAAAGAGCTCTGCAAGACGAGGTAGAACTGCTAGTGCTCTGTGGCACAGGATGGATTAAAGGAACAGAAATTTTCAGAACATGTAACCATCTATCCATTTTCTACATGCGCTTATCCTCTCAGGGCCCTGGGGTGCTGCTGTGCATGTTCAGCCATCAAGAGGGCAGGGTACACCCTGGACAGGTTACCAGCCCATCACAGGCCAACCCAGAACCACATAAATGCACGTGTGTCCCTCCCTTTAACTCAAATATAAAAGAAGAGGGAACTTACAAAGCTATGACATCATAACTTGGGCTTTTATCAGTAGCTTAATGGCAAAATAATCTTTATGTATGCCTACTTCTGATATAAAGAAAGCAATAAAAAAAATCTCTTTCGTTGTTCTGCTTTCATTAGAAATAATTTTGATCAGCCTTATTTGGTAAATTTTAATCTAATTTCATGGCAGACAGGGAGAAATGATAATGTGTCTTTTTATAGTTACATTTATGAAAGATAAATGTTCATACAAAGCTATTTCTGTTTAGTTTGTGATGTGATTTAGTGGGGTTTTTTTTCATAGTCTTACAGTACAATCTAATTTTTTTCTCTAATGGAAACCTTTAATAATTAAAGAGTTCTAGTTGGGTATAATTAGTCCTGATAAAAGCCATAGAATCCATTTAGCAACAGATCATTTGGTTTGGCAGCACATTTCCAGTCATCTAACATTGTTTCTTATACATATGTATACTCGTCTTATACATTTGTTCCAACTTGCATTTAAGCAACTAAAACAGCTCACCAGAAAACACTGTTAGCAGCACTAAATCCTCTTGCCTAGGAAGATCTTTCATGTGCCTCTCAAAAAGCTCTGACGCACAAAAGTATTTACTTAACAATACTGCTGAAGGTGTTTCTAAGACACATCAAGGTGCATCCTCCAAGCTTTGTGTTTTTTTTATGACAAAGATGCTTGAAAAGACTGACTCAGAATTTTAGATGTGCAGATAACAGCTAAAAATAACTTCCACAAACTCCTCCTGCATTTTTTTTTGCAGAAGGTTAGGGTGGTGTAACCTTTTGAAACCTTCTTTCTTTGCATGCCATGCCATACACCTTTATTTATAAAGCTTTTGTTTTTCATTTGCATGTTGACATTCGTAAAATATGGGTTATTTGCCTGAACTGTTCCTTCGTTGTCTGACTTCTGGTCTGTGTTCAAACCCTCAGCGAGCCCTCCTTGAACAGAAGCAGAAGAAGAAAAGGCAGGAGCCTCTAATGGTCCAGTCCAACTTGGACGGGAGGTCCCGCGCTCGTCGGACCAAACAGAGCGAAGAGCAGGCCCCGCTGGTCGAATCGTACCTCAGCAGCAACAGCAGCACCATCTACCATGGTGAGAAAGCCCAAAATGACAAAGAGTTCAGAAACTCTCCTGCTTAGAATTAAGCCAGATGTCAAAAAGAAAGATGTATGAATTAAGAAAGATGTAACCTTCTGACACGATTATAAATTCCAGTTTCATAGAGAGAATTAGAAAACAGAACAGAGCATAATCTTAGAGAATACGGATTGGTGTAAAACCGTTTGCTTTCATTACCATTCTGTGAAATAAAAATGTGGAAAACTTGAACAGCTAAATTAAAATGGAAGCACAGAGAGCACAAAACCAGTAGATTTGTGCTCTGGTTATTTTTAACACGGTCTCACATCTTAAGTAGCTTGTTAGAACATTGGCTGGTTAACTGCAGCGTCAAACAGTTCTCACATCGTCTTCCATAATAATAACTGGCAAACCTCAGTACAGAGTCTATTAAGCAGCATTATATAGCTCTGAACAGAAATACGTTGCCTGGAAAATTTATTTTCTTATTTCCAAAAGATTTGCTTGTAGGATTAGAGAAATGATCTCCAAATGTGATCGCAAGATGCTCACGCGAACCTGGTTGAAATGTCATCAGTAGAAAAATGTTCCAGTCTCCTGACTGTGAAATTTAGCATCAATAATGTGAAAGGAAACTTTGAAAGAGGCCAAGGGTGTTGTATGCTGTGATCTTACACAACTGCTTTAACATGCCATGCCAGGAAAAGAAAAGTATTTGGGGTGGGGAGAAAAGAACTAAAACTCTGTGAAGAAAGCAGAGCAAAGTCTGGAACAATCAGATGTTGTACTTGTCTAACAGCAGTGGTAAGTTTTCACTGACCAAAAGAAAAATGAAATCAGCACCACACTGGGAAATTGGCCAAATAAAAATCACAACATGTTAAAATTAAAAATCCATTACAGACTTAATCAAGATGTAAGAGTGCAGATTTTCTAATAATGAATCAATTTTAGAAAAGGAATGCAATCCAGAACGAAATTAAGCTCTCATCAAATTTTAGGTTATTTTTACAGCTGTAAAACATTCTCAGTGTGTTTTCGGCAATATGCAAAGTGCCCACAAAATGCTGTGCCAATGTAAAACAAAAACAATTATTTTTATTTTATGCACATTACAGCTTGTAATTTTATTCCTTTTTCATGGAGGTGTATACATTGACTTCAGAGAATATCCCTGAGCAGCAATTCCCAGTCCAAATGTTTAGTTTCTTTGACTTAGAGCTATGAAATTCCTCATTTTTCACTGAGAGAGAGAAAGAAAGAGATATTTATCTGAGAAAATCTAATTATAACTTGTAAAAGTGCTGCTACAGAAGTAAATAGTTTTAAGCTTTGCTGTTATAGGAAAAACAAAACAAAAAAAAAGCATTATTTGTATAGAAATTATAGATTTGATTTACATCAAAATTTTAGACATGAACACATTTTTTTGTTTGTTTTTTTTGAAATACCACTTTCCTGAATCCTGCTCTCCATTCCTGTTCACCACCTGAATATTTTCCAGTGCAAGATCCTGAACGGGAGGAGGTGAAGGTGATTTCGGACGCTCAGCTGCCTCGCTCAGCCAAAAAGGGCAAAGCATCGGCCAGCTCCACTCCGCAGACCGGCAGTGAGAAGAAGGAGAGGAAGGGCAAACATAAAGGTTCGCCCACCACAATTCAAATCAACAGACCATGAAATATATAACATTATGTTATATATTTACTTACTACAAGCAGTGTACAAGTAGTGTTGCTTCCACTCTAATTGTTATCCTTGGATCCTTGGATAACAATCACAGTTGAAGAGCTGACTGTTCAAACTACTCCTGGCAGCAAACATAATCTGTGTAGCTTTTCTCTTTTTTTTTTTTTTGTCGGTGTCTAAGCTCTGCAGTGACATGTGACAGGAAGTCTCATTAGAGGCTGAAACATTATGCAGATCAGAGATCACGAGTTTGCAAATGTCAGCTGTAGATTTGATGTACATCCTAGATCACTTACCTGCAATTTCTTGTTGTTTCTATCTATCATGTGCAGCAGGCACTATACAACATTGACATGCTTCTGCAGATTTCCTGGTTGAACAGAAAATCTGTATTTCAGTCGCAAAGATGTTTTTGATATGTGAAGCAGAAATGAAATAGACATTACTGAGAAGCGTTTTTAACAAAGTTTGTTCTTGGTGAATGACGACCTGGCAGCGATCAACAGCCCGGCTGCCCAGCAGGACGACAGTCAGATCCAGATCCTGACGGTGGGCCATTCTGCTGCAGAGGAAGGCGAGGCAGAGCCGGTCATGAGCTGCACGCAGTCACAGAGTAAGCAGGACCTTCGTGTCACCATGCTGAAGAAAGGTAAAACCTCTGTTGTTTGAAAAGTCTTTCATGACATCCACAGCGTTCTGGTTCACTGAAATACTGGACAGGTTATCATCCTCACCACACACTCTGAGTGACACTAAATCTCTCAACAGCAAGGAGCTTATTGAAATCCAGCAAAATGTAGATTATTCTAATTATTTGTCATTTTGTAATTCCTAGCACACTCAAATGACCACTGGAATTAAGCACCAGTCCCCCACATGACCCAGCAAGGATAAATTGGTTATAGACAATGGATTAAAATCTTTAAAAACAGTGACTGCTCAGGTGAAATTAAAGTGTGGCTCTTAGACATCATGTTGACTTATTCATTTTCTCCTTGGCTGAGCTCTAATATTAGTTGTAGCAATCAACAAAGACTCACATTTTTATATAAATAAAAAAAAGACAGTTATAAAATCAATACATTTTTTAACATGAGGAACAAATATGCAGAGTTCCTGAATGTGTTATGTCTCTGTAATTGTCACGTGTCCAAATGAGCACCTGATAAAAACCCGTCTTCAAATCCTAACAACAATACCAGCAGTGTTGTTAGGATTTGAAGGGAAGCCTAACATTTCTTTCAGCTAAACATACACCCTACACATAAAGTCGAAACAAATGGGAGCAATTACCAACTCAGGGTTTCCACTCTTGATGTGTGACGAACTGCATTAACTCGGCCTCAAACGTCTGTCTGATGGTAATTGCCGCTCTTCTTCTCTCTCATCTGTCAGTCACACTCCTCATCTCCACTCTCCAGCTCTCATTAGGGAAATGGTGCAGTAGCAAGTCAACCAAAACCAAATGTAATATTTTTATTTTTTATGTGGTAATTAGGTCACAGGAAAAAAAAATAAAAGTATTTTATAGGCACATTGGAGCAACTGGTAACAATGCCTTTTGGTAAATAACCCACTATCTCTTTTGATCTTCTTAGAAAACATAGATCTGAGTTTATCCTGCTTCTCTTTTTTTTTTTTTTTTTTTTACAAAATTAAGCACATGCCCACATTAACTTGGATAGAAAAAGTGAAATAATGTTAACACTGGAAATAAAACACATTTTAAATTGGAGGTTATTTGTTGTTTACATTTAGACTTTGCTAACTGAGGTGTTGAGATACACCCACTGTTTTTTTTTACTAGTTTCTTTAATGTTGCAGACAATCCCCCCAAAAAAGACACAGTTGTTTTAAAACAATAAGTAGCTCTGCTCAGAATGCAGAACATTAAGCAATAACTCTGGCAATAGAATAACTCTAGATTAGTTATGTTACCAACAAATTGTTAATTTGCAAAAATCTTGACTTACGACCCGTCTTATTTAATATCAATATGCTCCCACAAAGACAGTTAGAAAGTCGGCCTTCTTTCACCTGAAGAACATTTCCAGGTGTTCTAGCAACACGTGGAGAAATTCATCCGTGTTTACTTTTAGATGGGTTGATTATTGCTGCAGTGTCTTCACAGGTCTGCCTAAAAAAAAGAAAAAAAAAATCAATTAGACCACTTCAACTGATCCACAACGATGCTGCTGGCGTTCTCACTAAAACTAGGAAGATAGAGCAGGTTACAGCTTTTCTAACGTCTTTACAATGGCTTTGTGTAGCTCAGAGAATAAACTTTAAAATACCGTTGTTAGTTTATAAGTCACTGCTTATCACCTCAATACATTAAAGATCTGCGATTGTTGTACCAACCTTCCAGACCGCTCAGGTCTTCTGGTTCTGGTTCTGCTCTGCATCCCCAGAACCAGAACCAAACATGGAGAAGCAGCATTCAGCTTCTATACGCCACAAAGCTGCAACAAACTCCCAGAGAACTGCAAAAGAGCTGAAACACTGACTTCCTTTAAATCTCAACTAAATCCCATCTGTCTATTGTTGCTATTGAACTATAAGAAGTGAAACGTTGACCAACATATTTGATGTGTTTTGTTGATTTTGATGATGTCGCTAATAAAAATATAATGTTTGTTACAGGTTTTCTCAATTGTTGACTCCAGTATATGATATCTTTTGTGACTTTTTATATTGAGTTTTTAATGATGTAAAAAAGCACTCTGAACTGTCTTGTTTATATAAATAAACTTGATTGATTGATTGATTACCACATTTAAATTAAAACAGATACAATATTTTTTAATGTTGTTTAGATGCTTTCAATTTTAAATCTTCTCAACAGCAATAAATCTAGAATGTGCAATCCTGCAGGTGGTTTTTTTCTTTCATTTTTCATTTTTTTCTCTTCTGTTTGTGTTCCAAAGGTATTTCCAGCAGTATGAATTTTGATGAAGAAGAGGACGATGACGATGAAATTAGCTCAAGCTCGTCACAGCTCAACAGCAACACAAGACCAGGCTCTGCCACCAGCAAAAAGTCATGCAAGGTAAGATGAATTTCCCTCTTCACATCTTCCCTGTATTCTGCTTGCCTGTCGACTCTGGCCCATTTGCCATAGACCTGTGAATAATGAGCAGAGAGAGAATGCGAGTTCATTATGTTGCTCAGTTTCACTCCTAGCAATTTTATGCTTGAAGTTCAAGAAATTGAAAATGAAAGTTTAATATAATTAAAGTCATTTGCAATTTCCGGACCCATCATTTGTGTTTATTTGCTGTACTGATGTTTTCTCAAATCAACTGGCAAGATCTTTCAGCTACTAATAATCCCATAATTGTGTGACTCCAGGAAGTAAAGTAGTCTTTAGGTACAGGAAACACACTTGAAATACTGAGCCCTTCAAAGAATACCCCTTTGAGATTACTGTGATCTGGGAGCATACTCCTGAAAACAGCTCTCCCCAGCACAGTTCACATCAACACTCCCTGTGTTTCATAACCTTAAATTGGCAAGCTGTTCAGCGACTAGACCATGGGAGTCCAGCTGTAGTAGTCAGCAGCCTGTACCCTGCCCGTTTTAGATTTTCAGTGATTCAAGAAATACAGTAATGATTCCCTGCAGAACCTAAAGACACAATAAGAAGGTAAAATAAGCCATTAATCCAACTGTGTTGGAGCATGGACACATCTAAAAGATGCAGGACTGCACTGAGAAACCTCAAGAGCAAACTGATAGTAGAGACTTAAAATGGTTAATCCACAGCGTGCATGTTGTAATTATGAAAGTAGTTGTAAAGGGAGATCTGGCATGCCCTTTGTGTATGTATGAAGAAGGAATGTCATCTCAAATTTATGACTTATTTCTCTAAAACAAACAAAAATATGGATTGCTGCCTTTTTGTAAAAAAAAAAAAAAAAATGCCAAAAAAAATAGTTTTGGATTTACAAAGAGCAGAGCTGTTTCAGTTCTACAGAAAACGGAGGAACAATATTTACTGAAGACATGTCACAAAGGTGGAATCAATCCCTTATTCAACCGAAACCCATCTGCAACAAATTGTGAAAATTTCGCTTAACTACAGAGTCTCCACTTTCGGAGGTTAATAAATAGGAGTCAAACAAACACACTCTGAAGAAGATCTGTCCCTACTGTGCTAATTAAGTAAGGAGCACTGAGGATCTCTGTCCCACTTACCTGTTGTCCTGAGACTAAGAGAACAGAGAGGTGTCAGGTGAGCACCCAGTAATGGAAACCAAATGTAAGAAAAAGCAGATCATTTCTTTAATTCTTATGTTAAATTAGGACAATGACATCACTTACAACTGTTTATTTATTTATTTATTTATTTATTTATTTATTTATTTATTTATTTATTTATTTATTTATTTATTCTCATGTAGTGGTGACTAGTGTGAACATGTAACTAGTGCAATATTTTTCTAAAGGACAGGTGTAATAATTTTATAAACTGCTAAACTTTTACACCACCATTTTTTATGGTCGCATCACACTGTAGCAGGAAAACGTTTTCTGCATCTCTTTCATCATTACCCTGCATCTCTTCAGCTTCTTGCTGAATGGAGGTCGTCTACATGCTGACATATAAACAAGAGCAAATTGCTCCCATCTGCTGGACCTGTGGAGCATGTGTTTAGTGCAACCTGCAAAATGCCAGGAGGAAATCAGTTGCAAAAAAAATAAATAGAGATTAAGTCGCTTCAGAAATGTTTGACTCAAAACATTTGTTATTTGGATAAAAAAAAAAAATGGTCAGGATCAGTTAAAATGCAATGCAGATTTGAGATCGTATAATTTAATTGTATTTACCTTGTAATATATAATTTAATTCAGTATCATTAGTCTTCCTTATCATGTAAATATAGAAGACAATTACTGTAGTAAAATTCTTAAACAAAGAGTCTGTCAGTCAATCAAAGTAAAACTGAAATTTAAGAAAAAAAATGAACAGGTATAGGTAAACAATTAAATTATTTTCACTTAAATGGGCAACTAAAATGCAACTTACATTAAAAGAGAAGAAGATGACACGACGTGAGTAAAAGTGATTGATAATCCATCCATCCATCCATCCATCCATCCATCCATCCATCCATCCATCCATCCATCCATCCATCCATCCATCCAACCATCCATCCTTCCATCCATCCATCCATTGTCTGTACACCCTTGTGCCTAATGGGGTCAGGAGGTTTTGCTGGTGCCCATCTCCAGCGAACGTTCAGGTGAGAGGCGGGTTCACCCTGGACAGGTCGCCAGTCTGTCGCAGAGCATCGATAATATTTATCTAAAATCATGTAGTCAGATAATCTGTGAGCGCTACAGGCCCGAAGGATATTTACTACCATTGGAACAATAAATTGCATGTTTCATCATTCGTAAATGAAAATGATTCATGTCTGGACACTGTGTTTACAGCTTTGACTTTCCATATTTTCTCTCTGCTAGACTAATCTCCATCTTCAGTCAACTCAATCTTCTTTCCTTCACTGGAGCTCTATTTTAGGCACAGTGTGCTCATTTTCTGTCCCTGTGGACAGTTTGATCTTCAGACTCATTTAGCCTGTTTTAACAAAACTCCCTAATGACATATCTCCCACCCGACCACCATTTCACCCTCAGTGGGCTGCTGTCTTCCGTAGGAGGTGGCCTCAGCACCCACTCCGCCAACAAATGAACCTGCCATCGATGTCGAGGATCTGGAGGAGTTTTCTCTGCGACCCGCACCACAGGGTGTCAGAGTAAAATGCAGAATCACCAGGGACAAGAAAGGCATGGACAGGGGAATGTATCCTACCTACTATCTTCACCTGGAGAGGGAGGATGGCAAGAAGGTGAGAAGGCTTTGAGACGAGCATTTCACAGAGGATTGTGTCAGGTTTTTTTTTGTTTTTTTTTTTCTGAAAAGTGTAGTAAATGTCTATTTCACAACATTCATGTAATTCTACTTACTGGATTTAAATGATACATTGATGCAACTGTATTTCTTTTTTTTTTACAAGTTTTTTCTTTTTTTTTTCTTCTTTGGTTTCTGGCTCCATTTTCCTCAGGTATTCCTGTTAGCTGGAAGGAAAAGAAAAAAGAGTAAAACTTCCAATTACCTCATCTCCATAGATCCCACTGATCTGTCTCGTGGTGGGGAGAGCTTCATTGGAAAACTGAGGTGAATCCTTTGAAAAAACATGTTGCACTGCAAAAGGGGATGTTTTTGCAGCATCACAAAAAATTACCGACACACTGACTCTAAATTAAGTGACAGCACTCCAGCCTGCATTTAATGGTGGAATTTTTAAAACCGGGGTTTCTGTGCGGTGTTGGAAAAACTGGGAAAGTATGGAATTTGTGTTCTATCTTTCCGCATTTGAAGTATGGATAACAAGAAAATAGAATCTGAAAGGGTATTTTTATTTTCAGACTTTATTTCCTGCTGCACTGTCAACATATTTTAAAAAATAAAATATTGTATTTATATCTGTCCATTCATCTGTTTGACTTTCCAGCAGTCATACAAACAATTCCTCCAACCATTCATCCCTTCATTAATCTTTTTATTCATCCATCTGGTCATCCATTCTTCTGTTTGTCATTCATTTGTGTGCCTTCCTTACAGGATTTTTCTTTTTTGTTGCAGTTTCCATATTTATAGACTGGGAATGCGTGAAGTTTGAGTCTGAAACAGTAGGGAATGTTGAACACTGGAAAACTAATGTCTGGTTGATTTCAGATCTCTTAGTGCTGATATAAATGAGCTTTTGATCGTGGCAATTGAACGTAGCATTTTTTTAAGAACCCTTCATTAGTGGAGATTAATGTGGCTCATTCATTTGGTTTTTATCAAAGAAGCTTCATAACTCTGAAAAATGTGACTGATTGCAAGTCATTGTTCTTTGTTAAAATGTTCAATGATCTGTTGATTAAAAATAATTATTGCAGCCTTGGATTGATGAGGCGTTGTACTGTGAACCTCAGAGAGAACATCAATCCAGCAACTCCATGGGAACTCAATCACAGCTTTACGCATTTTCATCTTCAGAGGTGGCCTGACCGCTGCTCAAACCTCTAGACTAGAGCTACAATCCTTCTTAAAAAATGACAGAGATCTATACTTTTATGAACTGTTGCATCTAATTTCTCAAGGAGTTCTTCTGAGGACTGGCCGAAGTGAGGTGTGCCTTCTAAAAAACACATAGACTCAGCTTTTGGAGCTGTGGATATCAATGCAAATTTTTAGCCTTTGACTGTAACGCTTCAGAAATGTTATTTAGTTCAGGTTTTGCGTGGGCATTCAGATCAGAGCCCAGTAAAATACATTGAAGTTTGTTGGAATATTACAACAAACCTGTAATGTTCTAACTACAAGTTACAACATGTGAGAACGCTTAAAGTGAAATTAGAAATGAACACTTTTCCAAGGCTCTCTAAGCTGATGTTAATATAATTGTTAACATGAGGGTACCTTTTCACATATTTACAGCTTTTGTAATGATCCTACAGAGGATTTTTAGCTTTGAATAAATACATACACCAATATACTCTAGCCCTTTCATGCATAGTGGTCACTACAGCGGACAGCTATATAAAAGCCATTTTATTGTGTTTCTTGTAGATTTTTATGTTATAAATGCACACAGAACTCTGAAGTGGACACTAATGCATCATAAAATACACTATCAACTACGTCTGCAGAATTATAGTTAAATCCAACATGACTGACAGACGGAAAGCATGCCGACCAACCCAGTCCCTCCTTCTATTTTTTATTTTTTTTTACCCTTGCAGATAAAAAAAAGATATTGTGACATCAAGTAATCCCTAGAGATCAATACTACTGATATATTTTCCAAATAACAACTTTGTATTTGGAGAAAATTATAACTGATCACCTAGGAAAAAAAATCTAGAAAAAGAATTTGTTTGTACAGTTATTTTCCCCACCTTTTTATGCCTTAAGAAAAACCAAAAAAATTAGGAAAAAATCCTGGCATAAAGAATCATAAGTCATGCATGAAAGGGCTAGTTCCATACAGCCGCTAGGAAATGCCACCTCAATTTCCACCTGAATTGCGCTTTATATGTTAGTTCACATCAACCACACACCAAATCTTGAATTAGACTTGAATGCATAGTGCTGTTTTTGCAGGTCAAACCTCATGGGAACCAAGTTTACTGTTTATGACAATGGTCTGAACCCCATGAAGAGCACCACCAGCCTCGAAGCCAGCAATCTTCGCCAAGAACTAGCTGCCATTTGCTATGTGAGTATAAATATCCTGAGAATGAAATGCAGTGGTTACCCGATTTGCAATTATACATTTAATATTCTGCAGAAAAAGAGGGATGTGAGATTGCAGTAATAAAATTATAAACTAAAACTATAAACATGGCACATTTTTCTTTAAGCACGCTTCTGCTGTATCTTGACCAGTTCATCATCTATTCAATACAGGAAACCAATGTTTTAGGATTCAAAGGGCCTCGCAAAATGAGCGTCATCATTCCAGGAATGAACATGGACCATGAGAGGGTGTCCATCCGGCCGCGTAACGTAGGTCTCGCTGCCGCATATGTGCTAACCTATCCAACTCCCTGCAATAGTTTTATAATTGATCATAAAACTGACATGGCTGTTGCTGAAGGTGTTTGTTTGCTGTTCATTTCAGGAGCATGAGTCACTGTTGGCCAGGTGGCAGAACAAGAACACAGAGAGTGTGATTGAGCTTCACAACAAAACACCTGTGTGGAACGACGACACTCAGTCCTACGTTCTCAACTTCCACGGCAGAGTCACGCAGGCTTCTGTTAAAAACTTTCAAATCATTCATGACAATGACCGTAAGAGCCAAATGTCTAGACATCACTTTACATTTGGGGGATGATGCATATTCTCAGTAATGCATTGACAGCATAATGTTCAGAGTCTGGTTTTTTTTCCGATGGCTCACTTTACAGAGCGTGTATTACCACGGGGCAAATCATTTTAATTGAGTAAATTTAGCAACGAGGGCAATAAATGTAGCAAATTGAAAAGATGTTGTGACGTCAGCAAAGCTATTCCTGCAAAAAAACATCAATGTTGAACAGATAAAGAAATAGACATTAACAGAGCATTTTATTAGCTGTGAAAGGTCTTATGAGTTAGTTATTCAGGGCTTTTGTGAGACAGCCGAGGAGAACAACGTGTAGGTAACAACAAAATAAAATAAAAAATAAATGAGCAAAATAACTTTCTGGTCAAATACTGTCATGAGAAAAATGAAGCACAGCATCACTTCTTTCATCAGATTCAAGAGGGAATTAGCAGCCTAATGCTGCTAATTACACGCACATGATTAATGAATCATCAGCGAAAGTGACCAACTCTGTAAAAGGCCGTTTATACCTTTGAAAGAATTAGGGGTTATTAACTAAGTGACCTTTAGCAAGGACATTGTAACCGCTTTTCAATCTGTAAAAACAGTTGTGGTTATTCTAAAATTAGTGAGCCTGATCAATCTGCTGTGATAAAGATAATTCACAAGTAACCTCAGGAAGCACAATTCTCTAAAACTCCTCGTCCTTACACATCTCAAACTTGACAGCCATTAGTTTGTTTCTTAACTTTTGCATCTTGCCAGTGGAAGGCCCTTTCTCTCTGAAAAGCATATGGCAGCACAGCTTAGGTTTGCATTTAAGACAGATTTTTTTCGCAGTTCAAACCACAATGTTTGGCTAAAATCAAATGCAGTTTAAGCACAAAAGTTTTGTGAAAACTGCTGAGCGTGGTGGAAGAGGGGTCATGATCCCCACTGTATGGGAAAGTTTTTTGTTTTTTTACATTCAGATGGGAATCAGTCTATCTGTTGGCTAAACCTTGGACCAAACTGGGTCACCAACAGGACAGTGGTCCAAAACACGGTCAATATACAGTGCAATAGTAAATTAGACCAGAGGAAAATAATCCAAGGTGCTACAATAGTCCACTCAAGGTCATGACCTCAGATAAAATTAAAATGAAATTATTTGGAGTGACATCAGAGCTGCAATTTACAAGCATCATGTGTTGCAAACAATCTGAGAAACTGATCCAGAAATACAAATGGCAAGTGTTTACAACTAAGAGCTATTTTATCAAGCTGTTTGGGAATTGGGTATACCTAATCTTTTTACCCAAATTATAAGTTTAGATTTTTTTGAAAGATGCGTTCATGGATAGAATGCACATAAAGGTCATACTGAGTGGCAACGTAACTTCAACAATGTGATACATGCAGTTGCAGGAGCAACAGTCAATCAAGCAGAAGGGAAAGATCACTAGACACAAAGGGTAATGTTTAGAAAAAAATTAAATAAAGCATAGCACTTTGCAGAGCTTGATAGCAATTGGATATGCACATGGCTGGTTGTCTTGCTTTGCCGTTGTCTGCCACATGGAGCTCAATCTTTCCAACATAGTGTGAGATGACACAAGATGTGTGGGCGTCTTTATTTACCCACTGGTTCCAACATGGGGCCTCTGGGACATCTGCATACCATATGCCACGTAACTGAACAACACAATCACTCAACCTCATGCAAGCCCAACATTCATCCCTTGATAAACCCAAGTATTGGTAACCGTGTCGACTGATTCTTCAAAGCATCCTCTGTCTCCTCACTTTCACTCACTGTTGTTACTGACAATTTGAAACTCCTAGGACATACAATTTCATTTTTTTGTGTCAGTGTCGATTGAGTAAAATGTACGTTTTCTTTTGCAGCTGACTACATTGTGATGCAGTTCGGCCGTGTGGCGGAGGACGTCTTCACAATGGACTATAACTACCCAATGTGTGCGCTGCAAGCCTTTGCCATTGCCCTCTCCAGCTTTGACAGTAAACTTGCCTGTGAATAAACTCAAATCTGAGGTTCAAAGAAGAGCTGATCTGTCTGTCCTTAAGGGCTGCTTGTGTATCCCTCGGGTTGGTTTGACATCTTTAAATCACCCAATGCCCTGGAACTCCTGCATACTGCGAAATACATTGCGGGCTTCAAGTCCTCGGTGTCTATGTGTGCCTGCGGTCGAAAAGGGGTAAATGGTTATGATCTGTGGAAGAAAACAAGCACAAAAAGTAATCCACTGGTAAAATCAAAGGAATTGGTCTTGACTTATATTGTAATTTTGCATACTGCAACTGCATTATAAAAACCTGCACTGTTTCTTTACGTAGTAGCTTTAGAAGTTTAACATTTCCTTACTTGTACATTTTAACTAACAGGCACACAAAGAGTGTGTTTGAGCAACTCCGTATATTTTCTTTCTGTAGTCTACAGCACAGTCTCACATGTCCTTGTGCATGAATTCAAAGATAACATGCTGATCAGAGTATTTTGTTATTTCCATATTTCATCGCATGGTCATTTTATTTTCTGCAGTCATTTGTAACAACTTCATCAGTATTGGCTGTTTTGGTGCCAATACAAAAAAAAAAAAAAAAATCACTTACTTCCAAAAGAATCAATTAGAGACTCCAACTTGAAAAGGGTAAAGGTATGTTACACAGTGCCGTCTACCACTTATTGTGTCACACTGTTCAATGTGAATGTACAGGATGATGGTGCACTTTACTTTGAATTACGTGATAGAAAGATATATTGCTGTACATACTTTATTGTGCCTTTGAAGATGAAATCCAGTTTTAAAGTTTGGCCACAAAATGACTTGAACTTGAATTAATCTTTGTGTTTCTTGCCATCCTCGCGTTCACCGAAGGTATTTCTCTAAACTTCAGTGTATCTCAGATATATGTTCAGTATGGATGAATAGCATTTGGCTACAGAAGATTCAAGATAGTTCATTCCAAAGTTTCAGTCCGTCTGTAGGTAAATTATAATTAGCTTCAGAAATTCACTCTGCTCATTTCCTTCAAAATTCATTAACACAGCATGACCTACTGCCAACAAACAAAGAGAGTGAATCCACCTTTTGTTTGAACTCATATCTTTCTCTTGACATTTTCATGAACTTTATGCTCCATTAAAGAGTTTAATACATTCCTCATCTAACTGGCAGTAAATCAATACATCACACACTGCTCACATTTTTACTTGAAATATTTGTCCTCCTGCTTCTTCTAGGGCAGAGTCTCTTTTTGTCACATGTAAAGTAGTAGATTTTCTATTTTACAACCATTGAAAAAAATATATGCTGAACGACAGCAAAGAACAATCGCTGATACCGCTATTGTTACTGTGGGTTCTGAGAAGATCTTTAACAAATGTGCTATTCTTGTACTCAGTTGTGTTCTATTTGAAATTTCTATTTCCAAATGGTTGATACTCTTGCTGTATAGTCTGCTTTTCTCACATGTGTCCAGGACCCAGAGGTTCTGTCATTTTCCGGTTTCAGTGCTCTCGTCATTATGTACAGTAAATGGTGTACAATTTTACTCTGATGGTATAAACAAAGTCCTTTGATCATGAGAAAAATAAACTTACAATCTGTCAAATGAAATATCCTGGATGTCTTCATACTAGTAAAATATCACAAAAATCTGTCATATCCCTGTCATATCCCAGCTACTATCTTTTTTTTTTTTTTTTTGGTAAAAACCAGAGCATTCACACTATGTCACAAATTGTAGAAATGTCTGAGACAACAATGTTTGACTTAAACGACTTAAACCAAGCATATAAAATCACATAGTCACTGTTGTACCCTGATTTCAAACCTCTCATTTGTACCACTTTCTTGGTGTTTATATTTCTATTTGTATTTTAGAGTCATCAGAGGGACGAAAACATAAAAGCTGCTAAAGAACCTAATTTTGTTCTTTTGTTCTGGTCCTTGACTGTTCACCCAAATGTGGCTGCAACAAGGAAATATGTTTGAATTTGTATTAATTTAAACTTGACATATAAAGGGAATTATAAATAAAATTGGTTATTAGTATAATAATAATAATAATAATAATAATAATAATAATAATAATAATAATAATAACTTCAATAATAACTTATTATTATTATTATTATTATTATTATTATTATTATTATTATTATTATTATTCCATCTCTCTATACAGTTATCAAAATAGCAAGGCTTAGTGCAAAAGCAGAGATGTTCAACTTGTAAAAGGTTATAAAAAGTATAGGTAACTGTACCTAATTGCAAGATTTTTACATTGCAATCTTATTTCATGTCTATGAAGTCTGAAACATCCCCCTGTGTTGATGCAACATGATCAGTAAAAATAACATTGGAACTAAAACAACAGCTAGCTGAAATCATCTGTGAAGACAGAAACATTTTTGTGACAATGTAATTAAAATGCCCAGCTGTAGTTGAAGACTGTTGCTATTACTGTTAATGACCAACTAGAAACGGAAAACCAACCACAATATGTGTGTGTAGAAATAAAGAGGCATGTTGCTGCAGGTTAGAGTAGTAGCAGCTTTTTTTTTTGAAACCATATCCACTTATTCCTCGGAGGCTTACTGCGGAAACGATTATCGGTCTTACTTCCGGCGCCCACCGGAAGTAGTATTTCATTGTAATTTGTAGGGTTTTGCTAATTCATAATAGAAGTTACATCTCTCTTTTCGGTTATTGTACAGTATTTTGTAAAACTTGTTTACGGACATGCCTTTCTGCTATCAGAGAGCTGCTCAAGGGAACGACAGGAACACAGCGATAAGTTTTGTAACGGAATGACAGTGAATTAGCAGCGCTGCTAACTGCTCGGTTGTCTGAAGAGCTGACGGTAATAAAGAAGAGAAAAGCAGCGAACAAACAGTGCAAACAGTTTATTATCCAGCTGTTAACACTAGAACACTTTGGTTTGCTGACTTCTTACAAATGTAAAACAAAGGACACAAGTTCTTCAGCTCCAAATTTGGAGTCAATTCCTGAGTGGACTATAAGTGAATTGAGTCAGCATGAAGCACACAGGTGAGAATATGATGATTTAAAGATGCACAACGGGAATCGATGGTGGACACTTACAGATTTAATTGTAAACGTCAGTAGACATACCTAAATACTTGCAAACAAGCTATGACACAAAACTAAATCAAACAAAACAGGTCTTTTTTAAGAAACTAATTGTGAACAAACAAACAAAAATAGTCATTTCTAGTATTTATAAAAATATTACCCCTCCACGTTGAGAATTAGGTCATTACTTAGGGAAAAAAAATATATCATGTATGTTTCTCACTAAGTCATGGCCATTGTCTTTGGTGTTATTGCTGCTTACCAGCAAAGACAGTTGGTAGTTTTTCCCTGCAGGGACATAATTTCAGTGAGGAGTTGTGATAATCTGTAGAGCTCATCATGTTGCAGTTTATTCAACCCAGCTCAGTCAAACCAAACCAAACCATGAGGGGGAGCCAAATATTCATCTTATGTTCCCAAAACAGCAGTGACGTCAGTCAAGACGTCTGCAATCTGTGGTGAATTGTTTTTTCTGTTATGATGATGTTGGCTTCAAATCCTATGCAATGTCGTGTCGTTTAGCCTTTTATTAAGCTTGTTTCTGAAATGTGTCACTTGTACCTGTCAGCAGAGTGTTGCATTTTTACAAGAGTTTTGTTTCTCAGTCTCCCTGTTAGTGATGATACTTGGCTGATAAGTGTCATTTCCAGCAACGCTTCTGCTCTCTGTTATTACTGTTTATGAGAAATATGTGAAAGAAGGAATTAACAATGTTTCAAATAAGCGATAAGTGACATAAAAACAAGCGGATGTGAAAGTATTTCAAAATAGAAATTAGGTATCTAACATGTTCCTTCTTTTACTGATGGATTATGAGGAATTTAATGGATAGTAATCACATGATTTCTTTAAATTAATGACATTTAACTAGAAAAATAACTAAATACATTTTTCTATATGACAGGTCTTTAATCTCAGACATCATAAACCAATAAATTTGATCACACTTTTCTACAGTGAACAAAAGAAAACCATTTACTATATATATATATATATATATATATATATATATATATATATATATATATATATATATATATATATATATATATATATATATTATCATTGGATGATGTTTCTCAAATAAGTTTGATTTTTGGTGGTTTAAACATGTGAGGGCTAATGCAGACTTAGGTTGCTGTAAAACTTTCTCTTTCTCTCCTGTTTCTCATCCTCAGGACATTCTGTCCGACCTCTTTTGGGACGTCCGCGTGAATCAGATGTCCATCTTCCATCAGTGCCAAAGTTAACAAATACTCCTCTTCATCTTCCTCTGCTTGTTCCTCTGGATTTGAAGAGCCTTCGCAACTAAACTGCAGGCTTTCTGCCTCCATCAGAGGATCATCGTCAGCTTCCTCCTCCTCTTCTGCTTCTACGTCCTCCTCCGTCTCATCCTCTGTTTCCTCCTCCTCTTCTTCTTCCTCCTCCTCTTCCTCGAAGGTGTCCTCTTTGGGGTAGTGGAACACGTGTTTCTTCTCACTGAAGGTTATTTGCTTCTTCTCTCCCCTGTGTTGTTGCAGCTCTTTGCTCACCTCCAAACCGACTCTTTCCTGCTTTCTGCCAATAACAGGAGGAGCAGGAATGAGCAACTGTTTCTTCTCCTCTTCTTCCACCTCTTCGTCCTCCACATATTCAAGCTCTTTGTCCTCTTCTGATTCCTCTTCAGCTTCCCCAACTTCTTCTAATTCATCTTCTTCTTCCTCGTCTAAATCTTCTTCTTCCTCCTCTTTTTCCTCTTCCTCTTCATCTTCCTCTTCCACAATGGAGAGTTTCCTGGCCATGATCTCTTCCTCTTCTTGCTCCATCCTCTCTGCAAGGGCCTCAGCAGTGGGTTGGCTGGGATCCTCCTCCAGCTTAATGGTCTCATACTTATGTCTATCACAGGACTCATCATACGCTGGATAAGTCTCCTCTGGATAGCCTGTGTTAATGGAGCATGGAATAGTCAGCTTTACATAAATAAAATGCTCGGGGTTTCACTGGAGGTAAGCCCTGCTCCTCAAACATATTTTCTGAAATTATTAGAGGCGCTTGAGGATTTACACTTGAGCACATACCTTCCCAATCTGCACCGTAGGGGACCTCCTCAGCCTCCATCTCGGGAGAGGCTCCCTCCAAACGGCCCTCCTGCATCAGCAGTGTGATCTGTCTGAGTTGCCTCAGGAGTTTTTCCTCCTTCTTTGATGTTGAAGTTTTACTCTTTCGCTTTCTGCCACTGTGAAGCAGCACAAGTTAACTCGAGAATCTCAGGCACACGACTATTTATTAAAAAAAAAAAAAATAAAAATAAGCTAGCTGTCAGGTTTTTACAAAACTGCAGAACAAGGTACACAAGCTGCATAAATTCCTCAGCTGTTTGGATTTCCCAAAAGTGTGTTGTTTTAGAAATATCAATTATATCTTCCGAGGCTCATGAGTGAATGATTACCCGCTTATTGTTTCTTCTTTTAACTGAATATCGCCGTAGAAAGTGCACTGCTTACTGGCGCAGCAGCTCTGCTACCTTACAAGGATTTCATTCTATTGAGATTTTTGCTCTTCATTTTCTAGTTGAAAATATTACTTCTTTTGGAGTTATTTTCATTCTCAAGTTTTGCCTTTTCTATTTAGCCTAGTCTCCCATCAAATAATACGTTTCTGTCATTTTCACATTTTCAAGATGTTGTGGTAGTGACTAATGGATGTTCTGGGGGAAAGAAGCCCCTTACCTTGAAGAACAATGACTCCTCCCTGAGACGATCCTCTCTAGCATCATTTCTGTTTGCAGAAGTTTCTCCTGAAGCCTGGCAAGCTCATAATCAGTAGCTAAACGTTTCATACAAATAAAAACACAAACTTTACAAATCATTTCAGATGATTATATACAAAATAAAGATCGCTTTGGTGTGCTTTCAAAATTAATTCCGGCAGTTTTCCTGTGCTCTTGGTTTTTCCTAATATTTCTCTTAAAAGAATTACATACAAAAAAATGAAAAAAGAAAGAAAAAAAAAAACACAAAACTCTCCCATGTGAAATTTACACCATCAAATTACCAATCAAAAAGTCTAAGCCACACTCAAAGCTAACAAACATTTTCTGTCTGAAAGAACTCACCACTTGTGTTCGATGTGGTTTTTGTCTTGTTTGTTGAATAGAGCCCTGATTTATTCACCTTTCCCTTGCATGTTAGCTGTGCACAAACATACAGTTATGATTAGTAGGGCTGTGCAAAGGGCTAATGCAAAGCATCTTTTAATTGTCACACTTTATAGTTTAAATAAAACTCATAATCACCTTGACAGCAAAGAGTGCATTCAACTGAGTATAAAGATACTGAACAATAACTAAATATAAGAGTCATTATTATAAGGCGTATTCATCCCACACTCAATAATCTACCAATTAGGGAGGTTTGTTGCAGTGATTACCTTGTACATAATATAAAGGATGTAAAGCAGAATCCCAAAGCCATATGTGGGTATGACTTGAGCCATCAGGTTGTATTTCTTGCCCCGCCCAATACTTTGAACTTTAACCCTGGCTTCAACGGTGTGTGTGAGAGGGCGAGAAGAATCCACCTCCCACCGCTCCGGGTCGTCTGACACTGACAGCTGATGCATCCCAGGAGGGTAAAACCCAGGTCCAACTGCAGGAGGTAAAAAAAACAATCACTGCTAGAATTTATTTAACAAATGTTAAATAAATTTTTTATTTAACAATTGTTAAATAAATTCTTTCTTTTTAAACATTGGTTTAAAAAGAAAGTTAGTTCCTAATGATTTTTGTTTGCACAACCAACTAATTTGAAAGTTGCAGATTTGTTAATTGTCGGCATATAGTTGTATTATCAGTCTCTTTTTCAGGCATGTTTGAAATGAAGTTTTGCAGTAAACCTTTAATAAAGTATATGTAGGAGTAATGTCAGCTGCTTATTTAAAATACAAAATGTTACAATGAAAGATGTGGTGCTGTAATGTTTTAAACAAGTGCCTCATAATTTCAGAAATATCAATAAAGAAACTACCTTTCACCCTCTAACAACAGAGATAATTGGATGTGCACCTTTAAAAAAAATAAAAAATAAAAAAATCTGCATTTAGAAATTCATTCCAAAAAACTTTTGGGCACCAACAATCGTTTGGGTGGGATTCCCATCAATAATGTTTTTGCCCTGTCTTTCTTCTTGTTTTATCATGAACTCTGAACTAAACTGAATCAAATTATGTCTGATGTGTGTTAAATATTGTCTTGAGTTATATTGTGAGGTCCTACGTGAGTTGCTATTTTGGTCCTGGAGTGATTTTAAAAGTTGGGCATCTCTTTTTTCAGGTTTACCACTGCTTCATGTTTTCTCCAGGAATAGAGCATGGCTCTCCTTCATTTGCTGGAGTCCTTTCCTCATCCTTTAGAAATGGCTTCGTAATCTTCTCCAATGTGACTGACTTTGTTTTTTTTATGTGTTCTTTATAAATCAGAACATGATCTGTTGCTTTTTGGGATCTTTTTTGTTAAGTTCTCATCTTATAAGACTACTCATCAAGCAATAATCAATCCCAGTTGTAACAGGTATAATCGAACTAAAACATTATTCACACTCGTTGGCGGCTGGTTTCCATAGCACCAGTTTTGTTTGGATAATCTTTTAAATAAAATCGTCATTTGGAAACTGCTTATTGCGTCGACTCAAGTTAACGTTGCCAGATAATAAAATTCGTTGGATCTTAAACATGAGAAATCTCTAGGAGGCACATTTTTATTTTCTTTTTTTCTTTTCCAGCGCTGCACATGAGCATGTATTAAAAACCGTTACAGTAAACACATTTACAGTAGAGCGGGTTTTTAACCCTTGAAAATTCTCTGTATAGTGCTAGCTGACAACAACAACAACAACAGCAGAGGGACTCAAGATGGAGTTGGACGGATGGTGACCTGATAAACTGCCTTACCCTCAGACTGGCCCCTCTCATTTTTTCCTCTGGGTAAAAGCATCCTGGGCAGGAAGAGAGACACACAAAGAACAGAGCATGATATAAGGGTAACCTTCTGGCAAGTTGTAATGGTCATTCTGTCTCAGAAAATGACCGCCATCCAGTATTTTGTCTTTACTAGAAAAGCGAGATTCTGTCCCCAGATGTCAGCTCTCATGTGACAATGTTGCATCCAGATTAGTGAGGATTAGAGAAGCTGCATTCAAGCGCTGTCTGAAATATGGGCTGTAAATCTGTAAACAGAAACCAGCTGCTTGTTGTATAATTTTATAGACTTTTAACCACCACAGTCTGAAGATGGATAATAAAGCAATCAACCCCTTGATTTAATGCTCCAAGTTGAATTTATTAAATCTGTCATAAACTTAGCAGAGTCAAGGGCCACTGAAAGGTGCTATAAATCCATTAGTCAATAATGTTCTGAACTTATTGAAGGAAACTTATAAACAAATTAGGGCATACATTTTTTTTTTTTTTGTTGCAAAAAACAAGTGAGTAGCTGCTCTCAGTGGTAAGTCTTGAATATATTTATATATATAATAAATCACAACATATTTTTCTTCAGCTATGATTTAAAGCTTGATTCATGCCAAACTTGGATAATGAAAATGTTACTTCAGCTGTCTTCAGATTTAGCTGAATTTCATTCTCAAACTTTCATAAATCAGATGTGAGCACACTTTCAAAAATGCTCCTCAGACGATGTTCAGGTTTAAGGGTCCACTCCCGCTTAGGAATTTCTGTTGTGCGAGATTCAGATGATTTTCTGGTAGATCAGCTCATAGTTTCACCTTGCAAACAGACACTCATTTGAATCAGGTGTGTTGAAGGAAACATTGATCGCATGCAGTGTTGGGGGTCTCATGTCCAGAACCAAGTGACACTGATTAAGAAGCACTTAAATTAAAATTAGTTTTAATGAATCATATATGAGCACACTTTATTTTATTTTTTTTAATTTAAGGGGTAAATGCTCTCTTTTGACTTAAAAGCAAGTAAAGAGGCAAATAAATCACATTAACAATACAAAATCAATGCAAAACAGTGATGACTCTGAGTGTAAGAAAACAGAATAATGTGGTGGTCAACAATGGTTTAAATATTTATTATGTTATCATAAAAAGTAACTAAATTTATAGCTTTGAATACAAATATTAAATGAGGAGATGTGAACGTAACACAACCTATGCACTTCATATCAAAGACCAGCAGATGGCATCAGAGATTCAGTTACAAAAATACCACAAGTTCAAGTCAAGCGCTCACAAACTTGACAGTGAAGTAACAATGTGCAATTTTTACAATATTTTTTAATGTTGTTATGCTAAATATAGACGTGTCTGGAAATGGTCTAAGTAATAATTACATATGTCAGAAACGTTTAACAACATCACATGGAAAGCTGGTGTAAGACGCAAGATAAATTTTGTGCAGATTATATTGCCATTAGCGTTTGACAATTGAGTTATTTTTTATTTGCATAGATTCATCCATTGTTTCTAGTAACGTGTCTTTGCAGGGTCATAAAGGTGCAGGCGTCGGGGTCCTGTGGTCGTCGGGGGAGAGGCAGGGTTTGTCCTGGAAAGGTTGCCAGTCCCTCACAGCAGTGCAGAACTCATAATGTAAAAGAGGAAAACATGAAGGTCATACTGGTTTCACGTTGACTTAAAGTTATAGTGTAGCTTTTGTAACGGTAGTGTATTTCTTTCACCTTTCATGTGCGGTTAGTAAGGCACCTAAAGCAAACATAACTTAAACATAAATTATTTAAAAATATAGATATATTTCATTCATGTGGTTGTGTTAACCTAATGCAATGAAGGCCTAACATCTACATTTAAAAGAAGTAATTTGCAGTTTTCTTTACCATTCTATATGAACTGCTCAACAAATATGAATAAAATATTACCCCAAACTATATTGATCAAAATAGGACTGATGTCAGATAAGAAAGTTAACAAATGTACTTAATAAGTTGGTTGGTGACTGTAAAGTCATAATAAACCTGTTTTATTTCAACATGGAAAACATGCATTTTTATGCGAATAGTTTCAGAATTTTGTGATATTTACATGGTTTGAAAAGAACTGTCTCTTTATTCTTTAGCTGTTCAGCAAAGGCCTTCCAACTGTAAGTATCCATCAGATGGGGCAGAAAGTGAATATACAACACAAACAACGATACTGTTTCCCATTTAAATGAGTTGAAGCACTCATTTCTAATAGTGAAGCTGGGAATATTGATATTGTGATTCCGATTATTGTTACTGTGCCTTGTATAGGTAGATACAGGCAGTCCTAGAAGAAAACAAAAGGCAAGAGAGTGCAAAAGGCTCAACACTGAGTTTGTAGGCTTACCTTACAGCAGCGCATGTCAAATAGTGTGTGTGGGGGTGGGGAGGGGGATGTGAGAGGCAGGGTGACTTTTCTGGATTGGTGTCTTTATTCATATTTGAATAATAAACAAGCCTCCAGTCACTAGGTGGCAGCAGTGTTCAAACTAATCAACAGGCTGCCTGTTCAACCCAGTAGACAAAATAGCCTAGATAGTCAGGCGGGTGTACAGTAGAGGCGTGCCATCACCAATGAAGATATCAATACTTTTTACTATCCAAGTTTTATACATCATCACACCTGTGACCTTTAGGTGTTTTGTAATTTATTTATTTATTTTCACTTTGAATTATATAATTGAAACCTAGGGCAGAATTTGTTTCTAATTTATAGGTGTCTTAAAAATACTTCAACATGTTAACATGAAAAAAAGAAACAACAGAAAAACAAAGGAAACTTGTGTGCATTTTACTTAAATAAAGTGCAAAAACATATATAAAAAGAAAGCAAATCAAAACAATGTTTAAGATAAATGGATAAGATAGACCTGAGAAGGGAAGACATTTCCAAAATGAAACTGAAGCATTGTTCCTACCATGCTAGGGTTGATGCGATGTTAATATCGAGTTGGTATCGATATTACCAATATTTTGGATCAGTCTGACCATCTGTAGTGTGCAGAACTGATGGAGGACGGGAAGTTTGTGATGGTGAAAAGAGAACTGCGGCAGAGGCAATTACAGCAAGTGATGGCAGAAAAAGGCAAGGAAATACGACAAAGCCTATGAAGCCCTCGGGTTTACTGTGAGTGCAGAATGTTATGCAGATTTTAGGCTCTTCGTTAATGTGTATAAATTGTGAAGAAAAAAGAAAGCTTATGAATCTAACAAGCAACGTCTACAGTTTAAAAAAGTTTTGAATGTTACTGTTTAGTCTAAAAATGCACATCTCTGAGTCATTTTCACTTTTTCTCTTAAGAATCACACAGACAGCAGTTTTGATTAAATGTTACAAACTGAGTTAATCAACTGAACTTGGAAATTGTTTAAAGACCTAAAACAATAAAATGAGCTTAAAATTTAAATTGCTGCAACTCATTTTATTGTCCATTTTGATAATCAGATGAATGGATGGAGAACGCTGGTGCCAGTGGATTGAACGTAAATGCAGTTTGGTTAAAAATGACCTACTAATAAAAGGCTATGGTTTTACAGTAATCTTTTAAGCGTACCAACATTTTTTCTTCTGATTGGAAGTAATATTAACATTGGACAACAGCCAGAGACTCAACTTGAATCAGTGAAGGGAGCTAAACATTATGATGATGGCAAGGAAGGCTTCCAACCTCCAAAACTTGGAGCTTATTACCAAAGATAAATTGTGAAAAAATATTAAGGGAAACATCTAACAAACTGACTAGTAATTTTAAGAATGACTTAATTGATGTAATGCCAACAAAGATTTTTCCACAAATCTTTGAGGAAGAAATTACAATTTTAAGAGCATGGATATTTTTGGCATCACTGTAGGCTAGAATGGCTCAAAGTCGAGAACCTAACTCCAGTTAGGAATTTGTAGGAAGACTTGAAGTTTACTGTTCAGATTCACTGCATTGGTACCTTGATGTGCAAAACTGGTAGAAAACACGTGACTGTTTTTGTGACAAAAAAGTGTCCTCAAAGTACAATACTTTGAAGTTTGACTGTAGCGGTTTTATAAATTAATGTACTTCATGGCTTATAAAGAAATGCAAATTAATTTGTACCATTCGGACATCCATCACATTAAATTGTCTTTCACACATTTAAATATATATACTATGTGGACATTCTAGTTGCTCTGAAAACATTTAGCCTGGGATTAGATATTGTATGACACGTTGCATAGTTCCCCCAGGGTCACATTCATTTCTATTTGCCTTTTATGCCATCTTTAAACCATTGCATAATTTCTTTATTATGCAGATAATGAAATGCAACTCCACTTATTATGCAATTCCCAGAACCCACAGGGATTCACTGTCATAACACTCTCAGTCAGAGGTAGACAGCTTAATATTTTTGAGCAGCGACATGCAAATTATTCTTAGCTTTTTATTTCATGTTTTTGTTTTTCAAGATGAGAAGATCCATTAGTTGATGAAATTCTTGGTTTTAATTTTTAAATGACTTTTTAAGTTTTTCAAAAAAACAAAAAAACAAAACAAAAACAAAAAATCACCCTTTATCCAAAAACAATCTTTAAACGAAGATTAGAAATCTAGTGACTGTGAAGCTGAAACTGGAGTGTGACTGTTCAAGATTGAACCTCTTGGTCAGATGTCATTGTTTTAACGTGACCCGTTTCAGATTAGCTTTACTAGATATGACAACAACAAACTAACAGCTTGTTGCAGTTCCAGTTTCTGAAACTGGGAGTTTCAGAAACTTTTCAGGTTACATAAAACCTGAAAAGAGTTTTCACTTTACATCAATTCACTGTCTTTTTTTTTTCTTTTTGAAAATGTCTTTCAAATTTAGGAAATAAAAATATTACCACTATAAGTAGGAACGGTCATTTTTGCGGTGTGAAGTGCCATTCTGCAAAAACAAGGTAAATAACTCTAAACCACTAGTGTTGCCTTTTGTACAGCATTACATGGGTCCTAATTTTATCTCGGTGAAGTACATCAGAAATCGTTTTCTTAGTAGAGCTTTTATGCAGATATGTGGTGAAATACAAAATGTTGCCATGGCATAAACAGTTTCGTGGAAATATTTGTATGCTATGAGCTGGTCAATGGTATTCATCTGCTATGAGGTAGTTTAGATTTTTTAAGGGGATGATGGTGTTTGCAAAAACTGGCAAT